TGCTCTTTTGAATGTAGAACAAGAAAGAGGGATGATAAACAAGTAGGTAAATAAATGTTTAATTATTAATTGTGGTAAATGCTCTGAAGGAAATAAATGTGCTGTGGTAATATTGAGAGTAAGAAGACTTTTTCATATTAAATAATCGTGAAAAGTTTCTCTGGCAAAATGACATTTAAGCTAAGATCTGAAGAATACACAATAGCCAAGCATGCATTAAGGAGGGAAAATGGGAAGCGTTCCTGGCCATGGGAATAATGGGAAAACATTAGTGTGTTGGAAACTCTAAATAGAAATCAGCATGACAGGAGTTTAGTAGTAAAAGGAAGAATGAAAGATGGCTTTAAAGAGGTAGACAGGGACAAGATTATACAAAGCCAAGAAAACAGCTCAGTTGTGATCCAAAATTATGGGAATCCACTAAAAGAGTTTGAACAGGGGAGTCCAGTAGTCCAGTTTATGTTTATAAAAGAACACTTTGGCTCTTTGGTGGCTGTGAGGTCCAGAAGATCCTGGCTTGACTCTGTTTATCAGAACTCATTATCCCCACCCACTTGTCCCCTAAGAAACCCCTCAGTAAAATGGTTTGAACCCCCTCCCCCAAAAAAGAAAACTTTGGCTACAGTGTAGAGAATAGATTAGAAGAAAGCAACAATGGAAGTAGCAGGAACGGTACAGAGGCTTTTGTTATAGCCCAGGCTAGAAATGATGATCTAGACTTGGTTGGTGGCAAAAACAACACAAATAGATGGATGCAAGGGATGTTGTGGAAGTAAAGTGACAGCATGAACTGAATGTGGAATTGGCTCATGATGACTCTGAAGTTAATGGCCTAAACAGAAGGTTGAATATTGGTATTATTTATTGCAAGTAGTAAGACATAAAGGAAAAACCAGGGCCGATGGGACCGCAGCAGGATCCAGAAAAGGGGAGGGAAACAGACAGCGCCCACTCCAAAGGCAGGAAAGAGGGAAAGCCAAGTGGAGAGGTTTCGAAGAGCTAAGGGAGATGAACTTGTCTGGCAGTTTGTCAGACTGTGGTGGCTTTTGTGTTGCTGTGAGGCTGGAGCCAGCAGGGTTGCACATGGTACACAGGTTCAATGCAGCTTCCAGACTGAGACAGACTTGGAAGAAGGAAGAGGCCATCCACTTCTCAAAGAATTGGCTAGGGAAAACCTTATGAATAGCAGAGAAACATAGACTGAAACTTTACTGTACAACTTTATGAATAGCACAGAAACATTGTCTGATACAGTACCAGAAGACAAGCCTCTTAGGTTGAAAGGCACTCAAAATAAACTGGGAAAGAGCTGCCTCATCAGAGAACCAACCTTAATGATACAGATAAAGTAAAGCTTTTAGGATCTCCATTTGCCGATGTGGCACAACTCAAATTCAGAAGAAACAACTGCAAACATCCATTAATAATCAGAACATGGGATGTACAAAGGGTGAATCTAGGAAAATTAGGAATTGGCATAAATGAAATGGAACACATAAAGATTGATATCCTAGGGATTAGTGGGCTGAAATGGACTGGTTTAAGCCATTTTGAATCAGACAACCACATGATCTAATATGCCAAGAGTGACAGCACTGAAGAGGAATGGCGTGGCATTCATCATCACAAAGAATGTTTCAAGATCTGTCCTGAAGTACAGTGCTGTCAGTGATAGGATAATATCCATATGCATACAAGGCTATGGCCTTGGAAACCCAAGGAGGGGTTGCTATGAGTTGGGTCTGACTCGACGGCACATAACAACAACAACACAACAACAATAAGGATGATCAGTTTATTATACAAATTTAGGCACCAACTACCAAAGCCAAAGAGGAAGAAATTGAAGATTTTTATCAACTTTTGCAGTCTGAAATTGACCAACCATGCAATCAGTATGTGTTAATTATCACTGGTGACTGGAATGCAAAAGTTGGAAACAGAAGAATCACCTGTAGTTGAGAAATTTGGCCTGGGTGACAGAAATAATGCTGGAGACAGCATTATAGATTTTGCAAGACCAGTGACTTACTCATAGCAAATATCTTTTTTCAATAACACAAACAGTGGCTATACACGTGGACTTCACCAGATGGAACACAGAGGAATCAGATTGACTACATCTGTGGCAAGAGGCAATGGAAAAGCTCAATATCTTCAGCCAAAACAAGGCCAGGAGCTGATTGTGGAACAGAGCATCAACTGCTCATATGCAAGTTTACCTTGAAGTTGAAGACAATTAAAACAAGTCCACGAGAGCCAAAATACGACCTTGAATATATCCCTCCTGATATCTAAAGACTATCTAAAGAATAGATTTGATGCATTGAACATCAATGCATCAATGGCTGAAAACCAGAGGAATTCTGCGTTGACATAAAAAACATCATCCATGAAGAAAGCAAACAGTGATTAAAAAGACAGGAAAGGAAGAAAATACCAAAATGGATATCAGAAGAGACTCTGAAACTTGCTTTTGAATGGAGAGTAGCAAAAGCAAATGGAAGAAATGACAGAGTAAAAGAGCTGAACAGAAGATTTCAAAGAGCAGCTTGAGAAGACAAAGCCAATTATTATAATGAAATGTGCAAAGACCTGGAGATAGAGAACCAAAAGGGAACAACATGTTTGGCATTTTTAAAGCTGAAAGAACTGAAGGAAAAAATTCAAGCCAGGAGGTGCAGCATTGGAAGATTCTATGGGCAAAATATTGAGTGATGCAGGAGATATGAAAAGAAGATAGAAGAACACACAGAGTCACTCTACCAAAAAGAATTGGTTGATGTTCATCCATTTCAGAGGGTGACATATGATCAAGAACCAATGATATTGAAGGAAAAGGTTGAAGCTGCATTGAAGGAAGTGGCGAAAAACAAGACTCCAGGAATTGACGGAATACCCATTTAGATGTTTCAACAAACAAATGTCACACTGGAGGCACTCACTCAGCTATGCCAAGAGATTTGGAAGACAGCTACCTGGCCAACTGACTGGAAGAGATCCATATTTGTACCCATTCCAAAGAAAGGTGATACCACAGAATGTGGAAATTATCAAACAATATCATTAATATCACATGCAAGTAAAATCTTACTGAACATAATTCAAAAATGGTTGCAACAATATGTTGACAGAGAACTTCCAGAAATGCAAGGTGGATTCAGAAAAGGATGTGGAACAAGGGATATCATTGCTGATGTCACATGGATCTTGACTCAAAGCAAGGAATACCAGAAAAATGTTTACTTTGTTTTATTGACTATGCAAAAGCATTTGATTATGTGAACCGCAACAAATTATGGGTAACATGGAGAAGAATGGGAATTCCAGAACACTTAATTGTACTCACGAGGAGCCCATACGTAGACCAGGAGGCTGTCATTCGAACAGCACATGGAGACACTGCATGGTTTAAAATCAAGAAGGGAGTGCATCAGGGTTTTATATTTTCACCATACTTACTCAATCTGTATGCTGAACAAATAATCAGAGAAGCTGGACTACATGAAGAAGAACGTGGCATCAGGATTAGAGGAAGAATCATTAACAACCTGAGATATGCTGACAATACAACTTCGCTTGCTGTGAGGATGACTTGAAGCACTTAATGAAGAAGATCAAAGAATACAGTCTGCAGTATGGATTACATCTCAATCAATATAAAGAAAACAAAAATCCTCACAACTGAATCTATAAGCAGCATCATGATAAATGGAGAAAAGATTGAAGTTGTCCAAGACTTCACATTGCTTGGTTCTACAATTGACGCCAATGGAAGCAGCAATTAGGATATCAGATGACATATTGCACTGGGCAAATCAGCTGCAAAGGAACCCTTTCAAGTGCTGAAGAGCAAAGATGTCCCCTTGAGGACTAAGATGCACCTGACACAAGCCATGGCATTTTCAGTCACCTCATATGCATGTGAGAGCTGGATGATGAATAAGGAAGACCAAAGAAGAATTGATGGTTTTGAGTTGTGGTGCTGGTGAAGAATGCTGAAAGTACCATGGACTGCTAAAAGGGCTAACAAATCTGTCCTGGAAGAAATGCAGCTGGAATGCTCCATGGAAGTGAGAATGACCAGAGTTCGTCTCACCTGTTTTGGTCATGTTGTCAGAAGGGACCATTCCCTGGAGAAGGATGTCATGGTTGGTAAGGTGAAGGGTCGAAGAAAGAGGGGAAGGCCTTCAATGAGATGGATTGATGCAATGGCTGCAGTAATCGGCTCAAGTATAGCAAGTATCATGGAGCTGGCGCAGGACCAGACAATGTTTATTCTGCTGTGCATAGAGTCACTATGAGTTGGAGACAACTTGACGGCACCTAAGAAGACATAAAGAATAACCATTTAAGAGAGATGAGCAGAATAAAGGAGTTTTATTTTGGTGGTTATTGGCATAAAGATAGTACATTAAATCATGGCAATAAATCTACAGACACAATGATCTGCTTTCAAGGCCTAGGATAGTCCAGTAACATTTAGGAGTTGGATAGATTAAAGGAATCTACAAAGGAAACCAAGAAGGAGGAGCAGAGAGGTAATTAAAAACCAGGAGAGTATGGCATTATAGCTTCCAAGAGAGGAGAGCTTTCTAAGATAGAGTGAATGCTACTGAGAACCTAGTTGTCCATTGAATGTATCTAGACAACGGGGAGATCAGTAGCACCCTTGCAAAAAGAAGAAAAAAAAAAGTTTTTTTTGAGTAATGGGGATGAAACCCAGCCTGGAGTAGATTGAAAGAAAGATGGCAAATGCTTAGACCATGTGTACATACAAACTCTTGAGATACATCTTTTGACTGGCTGCCCTATGGCTAGGTAGACTTTGGCAAACCTTACTAACACGGGACAGCACTAGAGATGCAATCAGCCATGTGACTTTGGTATTTGTCAGCTTTGGGGATTTTATTCTTTCCTTTGGAAGCTGCTTTTTCTGGCTCACATTTACATGCATTTCATGTATGTTTTTATCACTCTTATTTATTCTCCTTCTTTAGATAAAAATTGAACTAAAACAGGCCCAGCAGAAGTTATTAGACAGTGCAAAGATGTGCTCTTCCCTCACAGCAGAATGGAAGCACTGTCAGCAGAAAATTAAGGAACTGGAGCTGGAAATACTTAAACAGGCTCAGAGCATTAAATCACAGAACAACCTACAGGAAAAGCTGGTTCAGGAGAGATCTAAAGTTGCTGATGCAGAGAAAAAGGTAATTATACCCATTTAAGCCTATGTGTATCAAATAGAACATACTGGATCTCACCACTGAAATCCTGTTTCCTTAAGGAGTTTAAGAAGCAGATATGGCACAAACTTGATAGAATTCTAGATTGTTTTCTTTACCCTATATTTTCTTTCCTCTCTTTTGTCTTTGACTACTCCTACAGTTCCAGTAAATCCTGAGTGATTTTTTCAATACTGCATGAACTTAAAAATAACTTGCATTAAAGCATTAGTGTGAAATTAAGGAACTGGCTGGGGCCGTATCACTTTTGTTTCATGCTTTCAAATTTCAAAGGATTTAGTCACCTCTCATGGGGTTGGCTGTTTATATAATTCTTATTTTGTAGTTTTTAGGAAGAATTTGTATTGTGAAATAAAACCATTTTGAAATATGGTCCCTGCATTTTAGGTGGCCAAACACCAGGTGGCAGGAATATGCAACAGTTGCAGGATTTTATATGCAGCTTTGTCTGAGAGTCAGACCTTACAGGAAAAAAAATCCTTTCATCAAAACATAAATATAAAGCAAACATTAAAAGTAAATGACAGGAATCCCAGTAATCTCAAAATCTGATGTTGAGCTAAAGTAGCAAAAAAGAGCTAGTAGTGTGTGGTTCCATTTATATGAAGATCAACAGTAGATAAAACTAAGGTATGGTTACAGGATAGTGGTTACCTTTGTGAGGAGTATTGGCTGGGAGGGAGCCTTCTGTCCTGTTGGAGGTATTCTCTATCTTGGTCTGGGAAGTGTTTTTACAGGTAAAACTTCATTGAGTTGTATACTTAAGACACATGTACTTCACTATATTTATGTTACTACTCCATCAAAAGATAATTGGCCAAACTGTTTAAAAATGGTAAAACTGGTAGTAGAGATTGGTAAAATAAAATTTAAGTTTAGACAATGCTAAATATTGACAGTGATTTGGTGCAACAAGAACTCTTATACATCAACTGAGGAATGGGTAGCCAAACTATAGTACATACACACAATGGAATACTATGCAACCCTAAAGAATAACATAGAATTGGCAAAACACCACATAACGTGGATGAACTTGGAGGACGTTATGCTGAGTGAAATAAGTCAATCACAAAAGGAGAAATATTGTATCAGTCCATTATTGTAAAAGTCAAGGAAAGGTTTAGATATGGAAGGAAATTTTCTTTGCTGGTTACCAGGGGTGGGTGGGGAGGGAAGGGAACACTGTTAGATAGGTAGAGATAAGTATTGATTTGGGTGAAGAGAAGGGCAATGTACCAAATGTGAGTGATCAACATGATGCCGTTGAGGAAGAGAAAGACAGAGAGAGGTACATGGGAGGTACAGACAACAAAGATGAACCATTTTGCACAAACAGTACTGCGTTGTCAGTGAAGGCAAACATGGGTATATGGGTGGATAGATGGGTGGATAGGCTGAACTATTAGGTATATCTATGCAGAGGGGAGTGTACCCAAGACCAAGTATAGATTTGGCAGACAATGGTCCTATAAGTGTATTTGTAAGATCTGTAATTATTCCCAGGTGTATAGTAGAGCTGACAAGGGAAAGTTGTAGTCACTTCTTGATCACAGTCAGCTACTCAAATGGACCAAGTAGTTGAACTGGTGGGCTTGGGACCATAGTCACAGGGGACATCAAGCTCAATTGGCATAATATACTACACAAAACATTGTTCCACCTCCTAATTTGGAAAGTAGTGACTGGGATCTTAAAAGCTTGCAAGCAATGATGATGCAATGATGCAATGATGCAGTGATGGGTCTCTCCTCATCCAGAGCAAAGAAGAATGAATAAAACCAAAGATTCATGGAACGAATTAGTCCTAGTGACTGGTACACCATATGATGCCATATGACTATGAGACCAGAAGAACTAGATGGTGTCCAGCTCCCTCATGAGTACAATTAAGTGCTCTGGAATTCCCATTCTTCTCAAAGTTACCCATAATTTGTTATGATCCACACAAGCAAATGCTTTTGCATAGATGGTGTCTGTCAACCACTTGGAGGGGGGTCTATGTAGGAGATCCTGGATAGAGAGGGAGAACAATGTAAAACAAAACTCAAAATCATTTGGAAAGAAAAAAAAATGGGGGGGGGGAACCATGTTTGCTGGTCTGACAGAGGCTGGTGGAACCCCTGAGACTATAGGCCCTAGCTGCCCTTCAGGTCTGGAATTGAGCCCATACCTGTGGCTTCCAGCCAAACAAAAGGCAGGCATATGAGTTGAACATTTACCTGAGGTAGATATACTCCTTGGAGAGAACAATCTTTGGAAAAGGAAGGGCTGTTTATGCACAGGGAGACAGCTCAGGGAGAAAGAGTGCATGGAGGGATGGACACAGGGAAGAGGCAACTATCAGGAAGAAGTGGGAGGGGAGCTGTTGCATTGTGGTAAATTGTAGTCAATGTCGTGAGACAGAGTATATGTGAACTTCTGTATGGAAAGTGAATTTGCTCTTTAAATTTTCACACAAATCACAATAAAAAAAAAGAACTCTTACACACTGACTATAGTTGAAAGAGTAAAAATATAAACACTTTGGAAAATACTTTGGCATTCTCTAGTTAATGATGTCCATATAATACAAACCAATACATCTACTATTAGGCATAAATGCTAGAGAAACTTTTTCTGCATATATGCATCAGGAGACATGAATACAAGCATATTGATAGTAGCATTGTTCCAAGTAGCAGAAAACTGGAAACAACCCAAATGTTCATTGAGAAGGGAATGGATGTATAGTTGTTGTATATTTAAACAACAATGAAAATGAATGAACTACAGGTATATTCTATAGTTTGATATAATGGTGAATAAACAATTCATCAAAATTGTGGTACGATTCCATTGATATAAAGATTAAAATAGTGCAATATAAAAACTGTGCCATTTAGTGATTGTTGTTGTTAGGTGCCATCGAGTTGTCTCCGACTCATAGCGATCCTATGCACTGCAGAACGAAACACCACATGGTCCTAAGCCAGCTCCATGATTCTTGCTATACTTGAGCCCATCGCCGCTGCCACCATGTCAATCCATCTCATTGAGGGCCTTCCCCTCTTCCATCGACCCTCCACCTTACCAAGCATGACATCCTTCTCTAGGGAATGGTCCCTTCTTATAACATGACCAAAGTATGTGAGACAAAGTCTGGCCATTCTCACCTCCAAGGAGCATTCTGGCTGCACTTCCTCCAGGACAGACCTGTTAGTTCTTTTAGCAGTCCACAGCACTTTTAGCATTCTTCACCAACACCACAGCTCAAAAGCATCAATTCTCCTTGGTTTTCCTTATTCATTGTCCAGCTCTCACATGCATATGAGGTGATTGAAAATACCATGGCTTGGGTCAGGCACACCTTAGTCCTCAAGGAGACATCTTTGCTCTTCAGCACTTGAAAGAGTTCCTTTGCAGCTGATTTGCCCAGTGCTATATGTTGTCTGATGTCCTGAAGGCTGCTTCCACTGGTATTGATTGTAGAACCAAGCAATGTGAGTCTTTGACAATTTCAATCTTTTCTCCATTTATCATAATGTTGCTTATAGGACCAGTTGTGAGGATTTTTGTTTTCTTTATATTGAGATGTAATCATACTGCAGACTGTATTCTTCAATCTTCATCAGTAAGTACTTCAAGTCATCCTCACTTTCAGCAAACAAAGTTGTGTTGTCAGCGTATTGCAAGTTGTTAATTATTCTTCCTCCAATCCCAATGCCACATTCTACTTCATATAGTCCAGCTTCTTGGGTTATTTGCTCAGCATACAGATTGAATAAGTATGGTGAAAGAATACAACCCTGATGCACTCCCTTCTTGATTTTAAACCATGTAGTGTTCCCTTTTTCTGTTCGAATGACAGCCTCCTGGTCTATGTACAGGTCCCTCATGAGTACATTAAGTGCTCTGGAATTCCCATTCTTCTCAAAGTTACCCATAATTTGTTATGATCCACACAAGCAAATGCTTTTGCATAGTCAATAAAACACAAGTAAACATCTTTCTGGTATTCTTTGCTTTGAGCCAAGAGCCATCTGACATCAGCAATGATATCACTTGTTTCATGTCCTCTTCTGAATCCACCTTGCATTTCTGGAAGTTGTTTGTTAATATACTGCTGCAACGGTTTTTGAATTATCTTCAGTAAGATTTTACTTGTGATATTAATGATATTGTTTGATAATTTCCGCATTCTGTGGGATCAACTTTCTTCAGAATACAGATTGAATAAGGTGCAAATATGGATCTCTTCCAGTCAGTTGGCCAGGTAGCTGTCTTCCACATCTCTTGCCATAACTGAGTGAGTGCCTCCAGTGGGCCATCCATTTGTTGAAACATCTGAATGGGTATTCTGTCATTCCTGGAGCCTTGTTCTTCACCAATTCTTTCAGTGCAGCTTCAACTTCTTCCTTCCGTATCACTGGTTCTTAAACATATGCCACCTCCTGAAATGGATGAAGACCCACCCATTTTTTTTAGCACAGTTGACTCTGTGTATTCCTTCCATCTTCTTTTGTTGCTTCCTGCATCATTCAATATTTTGCTCCATAGAATCTTTTGATATTGCAACTCGAGGATTAAATTTTTTCCTCAGTTCTTTCAGCTTGAGAAATGCCAAACGTGTTCTTCCCTTTTGGTTTTCTAACTCCAGGTCTTTGCACATTTCATTATAGTAATTGGCTTTGTCTGCTTGAGCTGCTCTTTGAAATCTTCTGTTTAGCTCTTTTATCTTGTCAGTTCTTCCATTTGCTTTAGCTACTCTTCACTCAAGGACAAGTTTCAGAGTCTCTTCTGACATCCATTTTGGTCTTTTCTTTCTTTCTCATCTTTTTAATGACCTCTTGCTTTCTTCATGGATGATGCTCTTGATGTCATCCCACAATTCTGGTTTTTAGTCATTGGTGTTCAGTGCATCAAATCTTTTCTTTAGATAGTCTCTGAATTCAAGAGGGAAATAATCAAGGTTATATTTTGGC